TCAGAGTCGCGCACTTGTTCCGTGTCTTCTGAGTCTTGCCGTGTCCTCGAAGGCCTTGCGCCCAGGGGGGGTCCCTTGGAGATGTGGAAGCTACATCATGGCTCTGTAAGGATATGTATGTATGCATGGATGGATGGATGGATGCATGTGTGTATATATATATATGTGTGTGTGTGAGTGTGTGCTCAAACACACACACACATACATACATCCATATGATGATATTTTGACATATATTGATTTATATAAATATTAATATGATGATCCTATGCCCGTATTTATGGAAAACCTGTTTTTGTAAACTTGTGCCATCCAAACATATCCAAACAGCGCAAGCGGCTGTCCGGTCTGCGTTGGGACAGCCAGAACTACCCGGCCTGGTAAACATAGAAAAAGCTGTGGAACATGGATGAAAATGGCCCATTTATAGATCGTTTACCCATGAAAAATTGTGATTTTCTATAGTTATGTTGAATAACCAGAGGGTAAGTCTTGGCCAAGCAAATCATTTCTGGTTTGTAAAAGCCAACTTTTGGCTAAACATGGATCTGAAGCACCATGGTGTATATGGAGGTTCCCTGAAATAGGAGTACCCCTAAATCATCCATTTTACTAGGATTTTCCCTTATTAATCATCCATTTTGAGGTACCAGTAGGAAACCTCCATATGATATTCTGATCATCGTTGGTTCATGCTTACTAGTCTCCCTACATCTGCTGCTTTGTCCTCATATAGGCATATCATTACTTACCCTCCTGTAAACATACCAAAAAAACGGGAAAACCCACCATTTGTAGATCATTTTCCTAGGGTTTTCCCGTGTTTTTTGCACATCTTTCTGTATGTCTACCCTGTATGGTACATCCCCATTCGTGAAACCACCAGCCTGGGACATAGAATACGGTAACACGATACTATCGTGTAGAAGAACTTATACGTATAAGTACAACAGAATAGGTCATATAGGTACATATCTTAACATCTAATAAATTCTTATTACGTATTAATATATTTGAATGTCCATGCAGTAAGATATACACGTATATATGGCAAATGGCCAACAAAAACCACCCAAATCATCCCAGATCCACTCTGAGCAATGCACGATGCTGGTGCTCGCGTACTCCCTGAGACACCCAGGTCCTGGGATGTCGGGCATAGCGCTGAAAATTCGCCAGGTGCTGCAGTAAGCCTGCTGGAACCAATTTCCAAGAAACAAACCTGCTATCATCAGGAATCATGGCCTATCATGGCCTGCAGGGACAACCCAAAAATGCACAAACGACCATTCAGTGATGCACAAAGTGTTCAAAACATTGGAGGAAAAGCATCCACTTCAATTTCGCTGAGGAGTCATGATTGTTTCCTGACACTCTCAAATGTAATTAATATTATATGAACGGATATGATTGATGCTATGAGTGGCTATAACATGCTATAACCAATTCTACATCCCAATGAAATATTCACATAAAATAGCTTGACATGATTGGTCACTAATAGAACTCCGAGATGATTCCCAAAATCCCCATGAAACTTGCGAAGCATTTGTCTTGGTTACCCTCAGGTCATCAGCTCCGTGGCTGGAAACATCCACCAGATCAATCATTTTCCCAGCTATCAACCTCCATCAGCTTCCAATTCTTTTGGTTAAATCCACCAAAAAAACACCATTTTTCTTGGTTAAATCACAATTTTTGTTGGTTAAATGATGTTAAATGACGATTTTTGCTGCTCATAATACCACCAATCACCATATGTTTGTTGGTTCAATCCGCCGCTTGACCCATCCCGCTTGACCACAGCAAGTGGCTGCAATGAAGCCCGCCGACATGAGACGTTCGGCCAGGGAATCCTGCTGTCGCTTCATGAACTCTGCCTGCCGGGCTACTTTTCGAAGCTCCATGGTGGCCATTCCAAAAACCGTTTTTTTTGGAGGTCCCTGCCATAAGGCCAACAATTTTCAGGCCTATTCTTTAGGAAATCTCCCCACAATTCATATGGTCTGAAATTCCGAGGATTGGCGGGGGTTCCATTCCATGGGGGTTTCTCAAGTATGTTCCCATAAACTGAGTCATAAACTCACTAGTTATGATCTTTACTTATTGAAACTTAGGAGGCAATAAGTCACATCTTAGAAAACTGAGATCTTCCTGTTAAACTCATTTGTCAACTTAGAAACAAACTTAGTAACACACTTAGTAATTAACGATAATTAACGCATATTAACGCCCATTTAAGCACCAGGAAAACAATGAGATACATTTTGGAGCTCTGGTGACTTCAGAGAACAGGGATGGCATGAGAAAATAGAGTTGGGAAGAACTAATGGTAAGGAAATCGAGGAAGCTAAAACTTGCACAAATAGATGAGGAGACATGCTTAAGCATGTGATGTCCAGAGTCATGTTGTGCTTTTCAAAAAGTTACGTGCAGAATCCCCTCTGGAGTCATGTAAGTCTTCAGGCCGAGCTAGTGGCCAGGCATTTTCCGAGTTGACTACCGTGAACATGGCTTTGCAAATGGAACATCTACATGTTTTTTTCGAGAAAATCATTCATGAATGGATGAAATTCAATGATTTTCCTGCATGTTTTTTTCCCAAATGGTCAATTCTCTGGGTTTGTATCTTGGTGGATTCTTGGGCCCCTGCTCAAACTTCAACTTCTGGTCGGATACAGAGACCCCAAAAAAACTGACACGTGACTAGGCACTTTCTAAGGAAGATGTTCCCTTTCTATCTTTTTGATTCTTTGTGGATCTTTGTGGGGGTTATATACTAGCTTTTTTCCCAACCGGTTCAAAGAAGACGCAAACAACACAAATTGAGCACGGCGCAACCCAAACCCAAGCCATCCAGACTAAAAATGTGGGGAATCCAAATGTACTGTAGGTCCCTCAAAATAGGGATAGATGTGCTTATGGTTCACCTGCAACAGCGGAACCTTGCACACATATTCGAAAAGGTCCGATTGTCTCCTTTCAGCCTTCAACTTGACTGCCGTCTACTGCCGGTTGATCTCTAACTCCGTCATATCACCCGCTGAATGCGGTGGCCCGGCATCCACCAGAGCACCTTGGATTTTCTTGAAATCCACCTTCTCATTGAGTGCTGCGCATTGCTTTCCACCTGCGCCTCAAACCCTTCCAATTCGCCCCCTTCATAGCCCATCTCCTCAAGCTCAATGCAAACAGAAAGGCCACCATTACCCCATCCCAATACCAGGTGCTGCCCCAGTTCAGTAGGTTAACTAGGATTTATGGTATAGATATGTCTATAGTGTACAGATCGAAGGGGTTTACAATACCACCCCCCCTCCTAAAGAAAACATTAAACCACTCATAACCATTCTATGGTCCCAAAAATGTCGTTTCATCACATCCCCTACATCCACCATTGTTTCTGGGGAGGTACTGTATTTAAATATTAGGAGGAAAGGACCCTAAGGATTAGCGCAACTAGCACTTATATTGTCCTCAACTAACTAGACTAATTAACGATTTTCATAGATATAATATAAATATAGTAAAAATAAAAACACATTAATATACAGTATATATATACACATATATATATATATACTCTCTAGATTCCGTTGGCGCAGTGAAAACATAACCTACAAGGGAAAAACCTTCTTCGAAGGGGTTCCAAACCCTGCCGTCGTCCAAACTATCCCATGTCAGACTTCTCTTGCAGCTGTTGTTTTGCAGAATTGCATCGAATTTCCAGGTCGAAGATTTCGATGTGTATTGATATATATATATATATAACTATCAGTTGGTTATAAGTCATAAGCTGTAATATTACAGTTGGTAGGATGATAGACACATTTTTTTTGTTATGATGATGTGCAAATAGTCATTATCTATTCATATTGGTTATTTAATCATTTAATTATTTTGTTGTTTAGTTATATAAATATTTAGATAGTTCGCTTGTTCGTTTGTTATATAATGTTATATGTATATATATATATACACTATTATACACCACTATTAGTTGCTTATGAACTATATTCTATGTGAATATATTCTTATCACACTGATCCAACATCATTGGGGACACCAGCTGGGTCAACATCTCATTTTCAGAGTTTGGCCTCGGGACTCTTGACCTCCAGTGTTTGGCTGCGCTGCTTCTGCCGCAGCGTTTCCAACCTGGGAGGCGTCGAATGCGGCGGCGCAGCCCGCCAAAGCTTCCCACGGTGAACTAAGTGGAGGTATTTCACCATAGGGGTCCCAACTTATTGGGGTTAAAATGCCATGATTATAGCGGTTTTAAAGAAATCTGACACCTGAAATTGGATGGCTCCCATACTAAACCAGGATAAACCAAGGTTTCAATCAGAGTTCAATCAGAGGTAATGCCATTTTTTTTGGGGAAAGTAGGCAAACATCTTCGGAACCATCAATTTGGCTGCTGTTCTCGCTCAGGTGCGTGGCGCTTCTTTCCTTCTCTATGGTGGCCAGTAAGTTACATTCTAGCTAGTGTAGGTACCAAGCATTTTTCCGCACACAAGAAGTGTAACCTAAAACTAATCTGGTAAGCCGAAAAATCACCACCGGTTTTGGAGGTTTTTGTCTCTCGCAGTTCTCGTGAATTTGGGGATGGTATACTAATGATTACTAATGGCTTCAGCACATTAATCCAATAACCAGTCATTTGCCAATCATTTGCCTACCAAAAGTTGTATAACCAGGGGCCAGCTAGCCGCCCCTAAAGAATATGTTCATCTTTGAAGGTGTGCCAAGCTGCGAAGTGGATCTTTTGCGGTAGTACGTGCCCAGCGAAGCAAAAAACTATTTGTGAGACAAACGAAACCCGTTAAACTATACCCTCCAGTCTTGGTAGCACCATGTAGCACCCATATTTTGATGACAATCAGTTGATAAAATACCTGGTTGGTGGTTTGAACCCCTCTGAAAAATATGAGTTCGTCAGTTGGGGTTACTATTCCCAATATATGGAAACTAATCCAAATGTTCCAAACCACCAACCAGATATGGTTTCACATGGCTTCATATGGTTTCAACGGACCCCATCCGCGCATCCGCCCAGCAGCTGTTCATGCAGCTGCAGCTGCAAGTCACCCCACTGTACCGCATCAGCACTGACGCCTTCGGCGGAGGGAGAGTTGATGAGTTGAGATGGTACAAAAAGGCACAAAACATGTCGGAGAAGGCGATGGAACACGTTTCAAAGGTGGTTTCAGAAAGATGGTTTCAAGATGGTTTCACATAGCAAGGTTGGTTGTACAGCTGCGCAAACAGGTCTGCTGACACAACGGGTGGTGAACCACCTCAATAGCTGTCCTTCTAATCATCTTTATTCATGTTCATTGCGAATCTTCAGGCAACTTCACACTGCCTGGGCCTTCAAACATCATCCAAGATAGATCGAAGAAAATGGCCAAGTGGTGGTTTGGCATCATCCCCAAGCAATCCGAGGCAGGCATTCACGTGTAGACCAAGCAATCTACTCCCAGTCAGCTCCATCAGGCGCGAGCTTTCCAGCTTCTGTTTCTTTGCAACCTGAATGTGATTGGGTTCTATATATAAATCCCTCATACGGCACCGTGTTGACGGGGATCCGCATGTCCCTTGAGGCCTCAAGGAGGCGCGGACTGTCCTCCTTCTCTGCGAGTTGTAGGCGACAAATCTTTGGTTTGCCATCTGAAGGTATACTAAACACATGATAAACATTGATAGAATATCTGAACACATATGATAAGACTATAAAACATATGTGAAAACAAAAGGTAGAACGAACAATTTAAACAACTGTGATAGCATTATGTGAAATACAAGACAACATATAATAATATATGATAGATACACATATGTAGTTTCTGCAAGTGTTACTAATGCACCGAGTGTCGGGATAACAGGCAACAAACACCATGGAGTTAAACACCATCAATGAGTTGTTGATTGGTGGAACGCTCCCTGATTGGAACAACCATCCCAGAACTACCCGGCCTGGTAAACATACAAAAAGCTATTGAAAATGGTGACTTCTTATGGATTTACCAATTAAAAATGGTGATTTTCCATAGCTATGTTAGTTTACCAGAGGGTAAGTAATTGTTGCCGGTCAGCTCCCAAGTTGTCCCATTTTTCACTCCAAATCCGCCATTGAGCATCCCAGTTCGCCGTTTGCAGCCCCTTAATTGGGGATATATTAAGAAAAGGAAATGGACATAATCCATTTTTAGGCTTCGTGATTTTTGTATCTCATATTACTTTGAACCAAAAATATTCAAAAATCAGGTGGTTATTACATGTTGATTGGATATTTCCATGTTTTTTTTTGCCATCCAGCTGGAATGCACATCCAAATGGTTCCTCCGACCACTTTTTGCGCCTGCACCAAATCGGGGACACGGGGATGGCCTCGGCCGTTGACTCCGTTCACTCCGTTGACTCCGTTGACCCTGCATGTTTTTGAGCTGGGGATGGGTCAGTAATATGATTTTGGGTAAATTATAATAATTCACTAACCTGAATTAAGGCCATTTGGGGATGATTCCCCCTTATTAACCATGATTTCCAGTGAGGTCGCAGTGAGGTCGTTATAATTTACCCAGATGATTACACCATCGGAAAATACTGGGAGTATAATATTATTAGTCAGTAAATCCAGGGAGGTAATACCAATGGGTATTAGTCACTAATATTATTGGATATTATTACACCCAGTAATATACCAATATTGGTCATTAATATCGGTAGTCTATTGGTTAGTAATACTGGTCAGTAAATCGAGGATTTCACCAGAAATTGTGGCTTTCACCAACTAAGAATGGATCAAAACCTATCAAAACCTATGATGCTCTGCTTCTTTTGGGGGGTGAACAGGCACCAGGCACTTGGGTTTTGATCCATGTCCAGCTGGTCAGATGTTCTGTCAAAAACATAGCAAAACATTCGATTTTTTCACCTACTACCCACCCAAGGTAAGCCAACTTACAATACCTTGTAATACCCCCAAATGATAAAATTGCTGAAGTTTGGGATGGTGTGTACATTGGGTTTAACTAGATGTGTTTGCCACATTGCTTTGGTTTTTGTATTTTAATCTGTAGTGTGGTTTCTGCCGGGCCACGAACTATATATTTTGGAAATGGCTACGCCCCCAAATTTCAGGAATGGCATAGCCATTTGCCCATCAGCATTATTGTACCAACCATGTTTATCATTTTTTCCATATGTTGGCAATCATGTCCCCTAAATCCTCCCCTACAATGGCGACACAAATACAACTTTTTGTGGATGAAATCCTCCAGTCTCTCTGCTGCTGATCGAGCTCTCGGGTTCCCCGCAAGGTCTCTTGGGGAGCCGCGCCTGCGACAGCTTCCGAGGGATCTGAAGTGGAGCCATTTTATGAGGTGAAAAATCATATAGTTAATAATAAATAATAATATGGGGAATAATAAGCATTAGCATCATAAAATGTGGGGTAGTAATAATGGTTAACAGCCAGTTATATATCATTAACAGCCAGTTATAACCTGGTTGGTGGTTTTAACCATCTTGAAAAATATGAGTTCGTCAATGGGAAAGATGACATCCCATAATATGAAATGGAAAATAGTCCAAATGTTTGAAACCACCAACCAGTAAATGATGCTTAGGATTCTTTCGGAATCATTCCTAAATGGCCTTGTTTCTGGCTGAATAATGTTGAATAGCAGTTTGCCCTGATCCATGAGGGAACTAAGCTAACCAATTGATGAGCCATGAGCCACAAGCAGCGGAGTTGACTGGCACCTCGATGCGAGGAGGCCTGGCTGAAACATGGATCCAATTTTGGACTGCGCTAGGCGCTTGTGGTTGTAACTGGGTTCAGTAGAGTTTATGCTGCTTATAGCTGATTCTAGCTGATCATGACTTAAAAAAAGGCAATAGACTAATTTAGACCTGGTTGGTGGTTGAGCCAATAAGAAGAAACAAAAACTTATCATCCCAAATGTAGTTGATAAACAACTACAACCCCCAGTCAGGGGCGGTTGTTACCAACATCTAACATCACAGAATGAGGAACCGAGACTTTAGAACATCTTGGACGCTCAGTGTTTTTCAACCACGGGACATCGCTCGCAAGGCCCTCCACAGACTCCACAGGAGTTCAACAGTGCCCCTAGCATGCCGCGCCGCGCCTTATTTCCAACTTTGGGAGACGAGAACTGCATCCACAAACATGTACCGTATATCCATGTAGTGAAATACTATTCATCCATTATCAAATAATCAATTAACTATAATCAACCAGTTACTATCACTGTGGCTAGTGTTTCACTATATAACACTATCATATATACTATCATACATGGTTCATGACTATCATCTATATACATCTATATACTATCGGCGTCCAAAAAGAGTACTTTCCGCACCTCGGATGTGCCCAGATCCTGCAGTTGTCGTTGCAGATCTTGCAAGAGCAGCAGCTCCCTATAGACCTGGGCCGGATCGGTGGCTATTGGTCGAATTCTGGATGATTTGGGATACTCCCAGCCATTAGGAAACCTCCAACATATTGATTAGTGTATATAAACATCTATAAACAGATAAACAGATATAAACATCTATAAACATCTAAGATTATTGTATATAAACATCTATGAACAGATATAAACTGAATTATGGTGATATCTAGAAAAATACATTAAGCAAACTAGATGCGTGTAACAAAACAAACTTCAAAGAAGGCAACTTTTAGAGCTAGACCGTAAAATGGTGGTTGCTCAACGTATACCCAATGCTTGTTGGTTCATATCCAGTTCTTTGATATTCTCGATCCATATCTCCAAGCTTTGAAACTTAAAACTTGCAACAACAAAAGTAGTGAACTGACTCCACAACTTACAACCCAATCAACTTTTTTCATGGGTACTTTCATCCATGTTTCATAGCTATGTTGAGAAATTGAGTAATCACCTACAAATAAATAAGTAAACAATAAATGAATACGCGTATATAATATATGTAATTATATATATATAATGATATATATATATATCTCTCCATGTCCATATCTATTTTTCTTGGCTATTTTGAATTATTTTGATCTATTTCCAGAGGATAAGTCCCAGCCCTGCGCCAGTGGCCGCACCTGGTGTGCATCCTTGCCACGAGCGCTGCTCCCGTCGGCCTGGAAGGATTTGTGGATCTGCCATAAGCCATCCCCAATTCAATGGCCATGCTGGCCAGGAACCGATTGATCAATGGTGGTGGTTCAAAACCCATAGGAAAACCATAGGAAAACCAATGGGAAATTGGGAAAACATCGGAAAACCCATAGGAAAATGGAGGTTTACCACCTAAATTGGAGGTACCTACCATATATAAGGCCTATTTTTCAGGCCCATGTAAGGGAATATCCCCACAAAATATGGTCTTATATGAAATTCCCATTGACCAATTGGGGGTTTATGAAAATGGCTATGCGGCTATGCCGCAAAAATCAACATGGGATGATGTAAAATATTAGTGTGTGATTGACAACCGAGACGGTTTCATGATGTTTCATCATTGGGTTACAGCATGTTACAGCATCCACTGACCAACAGCAAATGGGGTTGAAACGAACCAAACCATGTCAACACATACCATGTCCCATGTTTGAACTGAATGACTGCAAAGATCCGGAAAATTCATCACGCACAAAGTGTTTCCCCCTGGGGTCCACGGTAAAAGACTACAAACGATGAGGGCATCCTGCAGTCAACCTTTCTAGGATTGAACCAGAATCTGAATCTACTGTTCCATGCTGTTCCAACATATTTCAGCTCAACCTCTCTTATAATCTCTTATAAATGTTAGCTGGACATTGTTTAATCCCAAACCAACAGCCCTTCAGAAGCCAATTCGCCAACTGGGTGCATTCAGGATGGTTATCATGGTTATCCGCACTTTGTTTCCACCGCCATGAAATGCAGTTCTACCAATACAACTATGTATGTATTGGGCCATATAAAACCATTTATGATATCATCATTTATTAAACTGTTATTTTTCAACCACTAATGAAATGGGATGATCCTCCAGCTGAAAAACGTTGCCTTCAAATCCAGCAACTGCTCCTCGATGACTTGGAGATGGCCAAGTTGGTGCACCACCCTGGGCCATTTGTTAGAAAACATCGAGGACAACATGGTTATGGAATCCCCTTCTAGATTAAGTGGAGGGGTTGGGTGCCCCCATTTTATAGTACTAAAACGGGGGCACCCCCCCCCCAAAGTGGGACCTCTATAAAATGGAAACACCCAGGGTCACAAAACAGGTGCACCTCTATAGAATAGGAAATTCATTTGAAAAAACAAATATTTACAGCTACAAATTTACTGCAAAACCCTCCATCACTATAAAATGGGAGGCCCCAACGTACCCTGGAGCCTAGCCTTAAAATGAAGAAAATAGCAAACTTTTTACTATAGAATGGGAACCCCCAACCCCCTGTATATAGCTTCAATTTTACAACATCCAAAAATGAATGGTTTCTTGAGGGGTTGGGTGCTCTGATTTTATAGAGATTACATGCCCTTCCTGGTAGGATTTTCTGGGGGGTGGGGGTTTCCATTTTATAGTGCCGCAGCCTTCCCACATCCTCCCACCATCATCGCCCCAAAGACACCACATTTTTCTTTAGCCCGGGACGTCCCAAAGCCAAGGGATGCTGACACAAAGACCAAAACTTATTTTCTGGTAGTTTTCCATTGGTCCCATGCTGTCCCATGTCCCAAAAGCCAAGGGATGTTGACAAAAAGACTGGTATCGACGGAGCTGGGTATTTTGGGGCAGCTGGGTATTTTTTTTGGGTGGGATGGAGATAGTTTTCCATTTTATAGTGGTCCCATGCTGTCCTATGTCTCAAAAGCCAAGGGATGTCGACAAAAAGACTCCAAGCTGGGTATTTTGTTGTGTCGACAGAACTGGGTATTTTTGGGGCAGCTGGGTATTTTAGGGTAGGATGGAGAAAGTTTTCCATTTTATAGTGGTCCCATGCTGTCTCATGTCCCAAAGCCAAAGGATTTCTCCAAGCTGGGTATTTTGGGGTATCAACAGAGCTAGGTATTTTTGGGGCAGCTGGGTATTTTAGGGTAGGATAGAAAGTGTTCCATTTTATAGTGGTCCCATGCTGTCCCATGTCCCAATTCTCCAAGCTGGGTATTTAGGGGTATCGACAAAGCTGGGTATTTTGGGCCAGCTGGGTATTTTGGGGTAGGATGGAGAAAGCTGGCTTTGTCTGTCCTCTCTATTCCATTCTCTTCCATTCTTACGTTTCTCTGGTTTGGGAACACTCCCCCAGGTTCACATTGCCATCCATGCTATAGCAGGAAACGGCACGCGAAGACTGAGCAATGCAACTACAACCCATGATCACTATAAAATGGAGGCTACCAACCCCCAAAAAGAATGACTTCCTGAAACCTCCTGACTCTATAGAATGGGAACACCCAACCCCCATACATGAGTGTCATGCCAAAAAGGGCATCACTATAAAATGGAATTTAATATTATAAAATCAAAATCTTCCTGCCCCCCCTGGAGTCACTATAAAATGAAAGTACCAACCCCCTAGAAAAAAAAAACTAGCTAAATTCTGTCTAAAAAAAAATGGTTTAGTGGGACCCCGGGGTCCCCCATTTTAGAGTGGTTATTCCAAAGGGGATGTTATGGATATAATATCATAAAAATAATGCAATATAATATGGTATAGCATGATATAATACAATAAAACATAACATAATATAATATAGTACAATATGTCTTTTGGAAAACATGGACCTACTCAGTGGGCTTCGAGAAAAAAAAACCTAGTCGCGCGCGCTTTTTTGGGTATACAATGAAGGCCCCCGCGCGCGAACCCAACCAAAAACAAAGTTCAGAGTTTAGACACGTTCTGAATCAGAAGAGAACATCATTCAAAAATGATGGGAAATGGTAGGAAAATGATAGGACAATCATGGACACGATTCAAACTGATGGTAAAATTATTGAAAAAAATGATAAGAAACTATACCAACAAAAATGCCTAGCTCGATGTTTTGCTGGGTTTTGATATTTTCCATAGCACACTGTTGAATTAGCAGCATGTAATAGGTGGAACGAAAGGCGGGAAAATGGAGGAATTCATGAACAAGTAGGAAACGTCATCAAAAATTAACACATCAACAATACAAAATCACGGAAGGTGAGTGAGGTGAACCCTTGATGAACATGCACTGAAAATCATTGAAACAACAAACGGGGGGGGCATCCAACCATGTGTGAAGGATTGGATTTCAGCAAAGATATAGGTATATACTCGAAATGGCTGAAGACTAGGTACTGAACAAAAGTGACAATAACTGTTGGGTGCTATCAGTCTTGGCATCCGAGGTTCACAAAATTGGGTCAACAACACACATGATGCCAGAAGTACTCCACTGGCCTACTCCAACCGCTATCAGATTATCACACTCGCCAATCATGAGAACTGGCGTCAACTTAGAATCAAACAGTCAAACACATCTCTGGTGGGTTTCTGCTTGGTAAAAATCAATGCCTCTGCCAAGCCTAGGAATAGGATGGCTTAGTTTGGGGCTACTGGTACACAAAAAACACAAACATAACCACACAAATCTAAACATGTCCGGACATGTTTGATACATCATAGTGTCAGTATGTGTCAGTGTTCTACTTGCACCGGGGAAAAAAAACCACAAACCACATCAACAGCTAATTCTTTGATTCATCCATTGGTTGCAGTACCCAAGATACTAAATACCCCCGTCAATCCGCAGGCGGACCAGGGGAGATTCGTCATTGAGGCTGCGCACTTTGAGGCAGCACGAGAATGCGCAGGCACCTAACCCCGACCCGGATGCGGGTGGCTTCTGGCACTTGGAAAAGCCATTCTTGGGGGTGCATCCCAATTAGTAACTGGCCTATTGTTAATAGAATTATATCTTATACTGTGGGCTGTCTACGGGTTTTACATGGTTTTACATATGTAATCAAATGTGTACACATAACTATGTGTTCTACATTGTTTCCAACTGTGATGCAAATCCAAGTTTGGGATCACACATCTCAAGATTGAGGGGCACATCGGCCCAAAATGGTCATGTTGAGTATGAACCCGCTAAAACATGGACGTTGATAGTTTAAACTGGAACATGAAGGAGACAATTTGTGGCAGAGCATTTGTCGGAAGCAATATGAATCTCATTTATAATTAAAGTATGTATGCCAGACATATTCGCATATATATATATATCATGCTCATTTACATTATTTTACATTCATATTCTGTTTCCATGCTCCTGTGGTTTGGAAAAGCCACGAAAAGACGCACGTCTGACGATGGTCCCGCCATGTCCCGCCTCAGCCTGCGTGGTGCCGTCGTCAACACGTGCCCTGGGACAAGGTCAAAGGCGATGCTACACTGCTACACTCACTGCAGTTGTAAAACATCCATTCCATACTGGGATAGCTGTCTGGGCTGTTCTGTCTGACATGCTTTGGTACTTGGAGATTGAACCATCCATCTTGAAGCCCTCTTTGCAGGATATTGCAAAGAAATCAAATCCGTTTGAAAACAATGTTCCCTAAAGCATCCTAAAGCTGCAGTTCTATTGAGGTGGTAAATGCGCTAAATCCTAACTTTGGGGTTTTGCAGTCTCCCAATTCTTGTCAAAACTGACTGATGCCATTCGAGCGCGATGCTACAGAAGTTGGACCCATTTGCATTCAACTACAGACCAGTGCTGTGTCAAATCCAGTAATCACCAGCCTCAAATTCTACCAGAAATCGATAGGTATAACGGTAAAATAGTATTAGCCACCAAAAATTGAAGTTTACTGCGGTTTATGATTACGTTCACAACTTTCTCTTTTACACCCTCGGCTCTCCAACTGCGGCCCGGGCAGGAAATGGTGCAGCATCTGGGACTGCTGAACGACGGCATCTCGCAAACCTGAGACTTGCTCCTGCCGTTTTTCAACAGGGCCAGACCGATCACCTGACAAGTTGGTTTGCCCTCAGCGGGGCATTTTCCTATTATACACTTGCGATTTTCAAGCCAGGTCCAACGGTTACCTCAAACTATGACAAAACCCATAAGCAAATAGTTCAAATCAAGAATTCCTTTTACATAGTTGGTGAAGCGCATGGCTTAGTCCCATTCCTTGTTGGTCAATTTAGAAGACTTTTTAGGTTGGTTGACTTGAATCCAATATTGTTGCTTAAATTTCGATGTTGCTGGTTGTATCCAATTTCTTGTGGAATAGATATTTCCTCAAGTAAAGTTGGATATCAAGAGAACGGTAGATAATACCCTCTGGTAATTTGTTACATAGCTATTGAAAATGGCCATAGACATAGTGGATTTTTCCATTGAAAATGGGTGGATCTTTCCAGTTCGTTATGGGACAGTTTACCAGGCCGGGTCAACGTTTTGTTTTGCACACATCAATCATAGCAGCCATCCCGGTGCACTGCCTCAGTTGGTTGATCCACCGCTCCCTTCGGCGCCCATGGTGTAAAATAGCATTTAAACAATGATTCAATGTTGTTGAAAAACTACCCCAGCCCAGTTATGTGTATATATATATAAATATATCCGTGTGTGTGTGTGGAATATCCCCTATATCCCCTATTATATGGGACTATAGGGATTATATATGGATTCACAACCGCTTACTAAGTGGGATGCACATCCAAACATTATTTCCATGGCAATTTTCCATGGCTGTCCTGCAGCGGCTCAGTGGCTTGCGGTACTGCCTCTGGCCTTAGAGAAAAAACGATACGCAAGACGCTCTGATGAACATGCGAGGCTTCAACCCACCAAACTGTAGAATGTAGATTTTACATCCCCGTTGTTTGACAAGTTTGATGATGTTTGATGTATATGTATATCCACCAAATGAACGGCATTTTATAGAGGATCAAACAAGGGGGATGATTTTACCGAGCAATTTAGGATGTTCACCAGCTAGAGTTACGATGCCAATCCCCAATCACCGACGAAAATCGGAGCTTCACAGCCGAACGGCTCCCCCTCTGGATGAAGTTACTGGGTTGATTGAACAAACCATAACAAACCAGTTGGATGGCTGGAATTGCCCTGAAATCGCTATCAGCCAGTGAAGGGCCACTCCATGGTTCGAACATGGTTCAACATTGGTTCAGCCTTATAGATGAATTGACTTAGATGATTCCAGAAATCATGACTGTCATGACTCAAGTGGTGCATGTACAGTTTGTGTAGCCAACCCATGAATGTATGAAAGGTACTGTAAAAGTGTTTGACAGCACCAACCGCCAACTCACCACTTCAATATATGTGGTGATAAACCGATAAACCCGTTTGAAATAGAAGATTGGTTTCCCGTGGCTGCACTGTGGTATCCCCAAAACCGGAAGGCAATAAATCACACTCAAGGCAATATTGTATGTTTATATTCGCATGAATCTCATGACACTTGGATACATTTGGAACAAACATGACTCATTAGCTCCAGTAGTTGCATCAGATTATATTATATTATATAAAGCAGATTTGTCAAGTGCAGGGTGTTTCCCACGTGCCATACCAAAGTGTTTGAAAAAAATATGTGCCATCACACGAAGCCTAGAATAATTTAGATGAAATAAAAGAGCTCACCGACCTGAAGCAAAACCATTTGGGGATGATTCCCCATACTAGCCATCATTCCGCGATATCGCAGTGAGGTCGTTGCAATCTGACTCATTGCAGGCGACCTAAACATTCTTTAGCATGATAATCAGCATGATTCTATGCCTGGGATTTGAATCGTTTTTTCTGGGATTACCGGACGGGAACTTGCAACCAAAAACTCGAATCCTTTGAGGTGCCACCAAGCAGTGAATCTTACCCCAACACCATCGCCAAAAGCCACTGCTGCCAGCAAACTCCTCTGTACCTGACGCCTGGCACCAGGGGAAAAATGCAGAAGCTAGTCTCCAACAGGAAAACCAAATGAAATGTTGCAGTATCTAAGAAAACGGGTTTCCAACTGCCAAACTAGAAGTTCATCTTGCTTTGCATGATGTTGCATATTAAGATTCCGGGTACAAAATCAAATGCGACCATTCAGTCCGTGCTTTTAACACCGAATCGTATGCAAGAATATGGGCTTGCCGCTTGCCATGCTGCTATGTTTCACCACCAGGGTAGCACCATCTTGCATCATCCCATCCCCCTGATAGATCTAAGAGGGAACACCCCGATTCTATGATCCCAAACCTGCGCAAATCCCTATTCAAATTGTGGTTTCTGGTACGGACAATTAGGGGTATGGGAGTACTCCCAAGGAAGCACCCATGCAAAGAGATGGTAGGCTTTGCAGTATTACATAAGCATAAAATAGAACGAAAACGATACACACATATGAGATATGGCAAAACAAACGCCTATTTGCCATAATGGAAACATATCCTTCATGAAGTACAATATTGCATCATGTGGTAAACCCAGTAGTAAACCATCCCATTAGCCAACCATGTGTGAGTCATTTTTACATCATTCCAAATAGGGGCATGCCCAATTAATCAACATCGGGGTTTCCTAAAATATGGTTTATATTTTAGCTTTTTTTAAAGTCTCGTAAAAATATTTTTGTTATCTAGCGTACGTGTAGTGACGAGTGACATGAACGGGGGTATGAACGTGTGTGTGAACGACATGCGTGCGAGTGAACGTACGTGCGAACGTATGTATGTACGAGTGAGCGTACGTGCGAGCGAACGTGTGAGCGTACGTCCGTGCGTTGGCACGGTCACTCGCCACGCGCGCGCGCACGTACGAAAATAAGGTCGACTTGAGTCGACCTTATTTTTGCACGACCCTGCCTCTTTAGTATTGATTTAGTATTGTAGCGCTTTGCACGTACAGAAATAAGGTCGACTCCAGTCGACCTTATTTTCGTACGTGCGCGCGCACGCGGCCAGTGAACGTGCAAACGCACGCTCGTACGCGCACACGTCCGTCCACTTGTGCGCACACGTCCGTTCACTCGTTCGCTCACACGTGCACTCGTCCGTCCACTCGTTCGCCTTACGTTCGTCACCACGTCCGTTAGCCACTCTTGGAGCTTTAAAAGCATTGTTTACGAGGCTTTAAAAAAAGCTAATTTATATTGGTTTAAGTTTATATTGGTTCATCATGGAACATCCCACTATCCCGGTAATATCCCATTAACATCAACATCCATATCGAATCAACATCCCATTAAAAAATGGATAAATCAACATCTATTGGGGATTCCTAAAATTTGGTTTTTAAATGTTTATAATGGAAAATCCCACTAAAACGGATGATTTGGAGGAAAACCCCATGGTATCCCCCATTTTAGGATGCGGTATCCGCGCCTTGGTCTTGGCCATGGACTCCAAGAGCTGCAGCTGCCGCTGCTGCATCTCCAACATTTGCGCCCTGGGGAAACAGCTGACAACCGCGTCATGACGTGGGGGGTTCGGTAAATGGGACCCCAAAATGGATCCCAGATGCTCCATGTATGGTTACCTACATTTACCCCAAAAATGACCCAAATGTAGGTAAAATTTCCATACATGGAGCATCTGGGGATGGTATATCATGGAAAATCCTATTAACATGACGGATAATTTGGAGGTACCACTATTTTAGGAAACCCCCACATGAGGGCCCCACATGGAAGCTACACAAAAAAAACCGTCAGGACGATGATGGATGAGGCTTTTCCCATGGATTTGCCCCATTTCTGTGGGCATTGCTTGGCTTAAAGGCTTTTGGAAGGAATAGTTGCAGGAAACAACTGGTAGAAACGAAGATCGCATGTCAAATTTCACTGCAACCAAGCCAGGGAGCCAAGCCTGACTACTGGACTGAATTTGAATCAAATCCCATGAAATAAAAACAAATACTTTACTTCGTGTGATCCCCACCATGACATTTATACATTTTCTTACTGGCAAATCTTCTGGCAGTCTAACTGACATATCTTCTGGCAAATCTTCTGGCATATCTTCTGGCATTCTATCTGACATATCTTCTGGCATCCTATCTGGCATTCTATCTGGCATATATTCTGACATATCTTCTGGCATTCTATCTGGCATTCTATCTGGCATATCTTCTGGCATTCTATCTGGCATATCTTCTGGCATATCTCATGGCATTCTATCTGGCATTCTATCTGGCATATCTTCTGGCATTCTATCTGGCATATCTCATGGCATTTTATCTGACATTTTATCTGGCATTCTATCTGGCATATCTTCTGGCATTCTATCTGGCATATCTCATGGCATTTTATCTGACATTTTATCTGGCATTCTATCTGGCATATCTTCTGGCATTCTATCTGGCATATCTCATGGCATTTTATCTGACATTTTATCTGGCATTCTATCTGGCATATCTTCTGGCATTCTATCTGGCATTCTATCTGGCATATCTCATGGCATTTTATCTGGCATATCTTCAGGCATTCTATCTGACATTCTATCTGACATATCTTCTGGCATTCTATCTGGCTGTTGAGGTCCAGCGGTGCACACTGAGCTGGGCAGGTCCCCGGTTGAGGTCCAGCAGTGCACACTGAGCTGGGGAGGTCCCCGGTTGAGGTCCAGCGGTGCACACTCCACTTACCAAACCCCAGGTTGAGGTCCAGCGGTGCACACTGGGCTGGGCAGGTCCCAGGTTGAGGTCCAGCGGTGCACGCTGAGCTGAGACGGTCCCTGGTTGAGGTCCAGCGGTGCACACTGAGCTTGAGGTCCAGCGGTGCACACTGAGCTGGGCAGGTCCCAGGTTGAGGTCCCAGTGCACACTGAGCTGGGAAGTTGGCAAAGAGCTTGGCGAAGAGTTGGCAAGGCGGAAGTGGAGGTGGAAGTTGATGCAGACATGGTCGAAGAGAAACTAGATGGGGAGGAGGAGGAGGACAGCTAGCCGAGGAGGAGGAGGAGGAGAACAGCTCTGATAAAATCCAACAACCCTCACCTGGCAGGTGGGGAAAAATGTCCACGTGGCTATCAAATTGTATGGCCACATGGCTATCAATGGCAAATCAGCTCTGAAATCAGCCATGAAAATAGAATAACTAGGGTTTATGGAGGATAAAACTATAGTTACTGGTTTATAAACAAACTTATAAGTGGGGGGGCACTACCTTGTCAAAATCCGCCCGAATGGATCCATGATCCTCGTCCCATCGTCCAAGCGGCAAGAAAGGCTGGATGCCCTCCGATGACCTGGGTCCGCCATGGCAGGCGGAACTATCCGGGCTTGGGTTCCGCTGGCTTTCGCGGACCTCTGGTGGGGATTTCTTAAAGTGTTGAATCCCCAAGTCACCGTTTTTCAATACTAAAATGGTCTAATTTTGGATGATTTGGAGGTACCACCATTTTTAGGAAACCTCCATTTGTATGTGACCATCAAAACAAAAAAATGTTAAATAGAGTTCCGCACAAATCTGGATGCTGTGGAAACGCGTCTGGAAAGACGCGTTTCCACACAATGGATTGGCGACCAAAGCATACCAAAGCTCATTCGAAGCCAGATTTTGAAAGGTCACGTCCCACATGTTTGATGGTCAAGTCATGTCAAGTCTTGTTTTCTTTGGTTCATATTTCCGATCTTAGGGGGATTCGTGACTGCTTATATAATATACAGTAGTTGCAGGAACATCTTGGAATTCTACAAGGATTTCAGCTCGCAAGTGGGGCTAAGCATCATCGATTCTTACTTGGGGGATCTGCACGGGTAATCTAAGCCCTGGCAATTTTTATCATTGAAGATTGCTACCCTTCATGTACGTAAAAATACGTAAAACATGTTCAACAAGGATGTGTGGCATTATGTGGCATTGTTTGCCTGCAATAATTAAATCAGTAAGAAGGTTGTCAGTGTGTGTGTGTGTGAATCATAGCAACCATCTTGGTAGCCACCTGTCCTGATGTAAGCTGCAAACAAGCATCTTGGCAAGACCTTATGGGCCTAACGTAAACTGCAAACGAGCAGTCAGTTGTTAAATTTGGATATACGTCCATGAGGTACGCTAGACGTTTAAAATGGTTAAAGACTCAAGCCACCCTCAACATCGCTCAAGCCTCATTGAAGGTGCACTTGTGGTTGGGCCCCCCTTGAGGTACCAACCAAGACGCAGGTTCCGCCAGTGTCCGGCTTGGCCTCACAAAAATCCCATGATGTCGCTCCACCATAGCTGATGAGGATAGGTAGAGTCAAAGGTCGGTATCAAAGTCCGGCATGGAACCTATAGATAAATTGGCATTTAAATCAAATTATAGGCATATAATCTTGCACCAAAGGTCATGGGTGAATTGGTGGTGATACGCTCTTTTGTCCTGGTGAACCTGAGGATTCTTTTGGAAACACAACCATTAAACAAACGATATTTGACTGAAAGGAATTAGCACTGCCGGGATCCAAAATCACCAGCCACCAGCTAATCTTTGGTTTAAAAACACCGCCAACCAAACAGCACAATTGGTTGGCGAATAAAACAAAGCTGCGAGATCTTTGACACTTGCCCTGAGGTGCGAAGAATCAAACATCCGGCACACGAGGCAAGCTTTCTAAAAAAAAAACTCCGTCTATGTATATATATATATAATTGATTATATTTGGCCAATGAATGAACCAAATTCCCATCCCCTCTGACATGACTGGGGTGCCAAATTTCATCAAATTCCAAACCATCCCCGGCCAAGCAACAAATAGGCATCGCCCAGGCAGGAAACCATATCGTTTTCATAGTTCCAAGCACCAATCTAGAGCCAACCCTTACTACAATTAAACACATACAACCCTATCATATCCTGTGTGCCAGATCTAATCCGACTAAAATAATTCGAATATGCTATATAATGCTATATTTATATATATATACGAGATTCTATAGCAACACCGGAAAAGAGGCCCAAAAGTGTTTCCAAGATGATCTGGATGACGCTTTTTGCGGCTGGAGCAGCTGTGAAGAGCGACTGCTCATGGACTCTCGGCGCCTTGGAGGCTGCAAAAACGAACAGGGGGTAATCATACAGGATGGTACCCCCCAGTGATGTTTGTTGGTTTATAAGCCCTAGTAACTATAGTTATCTAGTTGGTTACATCTACCATAAACCATAGAATTCAACCACTTATATCTCAACTGAACGCTATCTAACATGGGACAGTCATGGGCAGTCCCTGAAACAGATGGTCGTATAGTGGGGATAGCCATGGTCTTTTCCAACACTATCTCTTTGTGTAGCGCATGGAGGTGAGATGAGGTGAGGCTGGGATCCGTTGACCTCTGAAGAGACCCTGGCTGTGGCGAATGAGTTCCGATGGTAGGCTCCACATACCTGAGCGATGATGAAAGCGAAGGCAGATTCAGCAAGTTTGCTCCCAATCAATACTCCAAATACAAACGCGGGCACAAGGAAGTAAAATTTCTTTCTTTCTTACACCCTTGTGATCCCTTGTGGCTATCATTTTCCGTTTACCGTTTACCTCTTAATGGGTCAGGAAAACCCAGATCTTGTTGCACCTTTGAGTCATGCTGTTTCACAAACACTAGACGTGCAGGGAGGTTTGCAGACTTGACCAAATGGTGGGCTTTCACAGTGACACTTGGCATGTCGGGCCTACTTTGCGCCCATAATGTATTAAGCAAACACACACATACATATACTTAGAAACGTTTGTCCACTATCAGGTATAATGCCAGGCACAACTGAGGACCCTGGCTGAGATCTGTGCATACAGGCTTCAGCTAGCGACAGCCTTAGCAGCACTGCCAAGAAGTGACATTTAGATACCTTTATTCACGTTGCTATCCGCAAAGTTTCGGTTGTCAGTACAACCAATCCGACTTCAAACTTCCATGCACGGCGTGTCAACCACGGTGTTTGATGTTGACCCTGGCTGATTTATCATAGAAGGCACCCCTCAACCACCCAATGGTCCCCGCCACTGATCAAGAGCCCGGTTTAAGCAAAATTTGAGGTTGACAGTACACATATTTGCCATGAACATCTATGAAACCTTTCACCCTTGTCACCCTTGTCACTCATGTTGCACCTGGGCATCAGTGGCTGGGGGCGCCTTGCAAAATCAGAGGCGCATTGCAGATGCCCAATGTAGTGGGGAAGAGGTGGGTGTAAATCAAAGATAACAACACACATTGATACAAGAGAACACAAATTCAGACACATGCGCAGGATGTTCCACAAGACAAACATTGGGGCACCAAATCGATAAACCAAACCCATCAAGATCAAAAGGCCCTGACTGTGGCGAATGTTGACTCTCAATTGCAGGCGATCTATGCCTGAGCATGTGGTGGCGCATATTCATCTTTTGCCATGTTTCCACTTCACAAGCACCTATTCAATGCACAAGAGAAAACCATGACACTTGAACTTGAACGCGTTCGGAAAATCAT